GCCTGAGCTCACACACTAAACTTTACAAGGTACCACAGTATTCTCTGACTCTAGGATACTGCAGTGCCTTTGGAAAGAAGGAGGAGGCTATGCTCTTGAATACTGCACTATATTTGGTAAGGGTCAGAGTCTTGTTTCCTTTGATGACATCATTTTGTTCCCTAAGGGTATGGCATCGTTACTCTATCCTAATCAAGGGATGAAGGCCTGCTTCTTAAAGAGAATGTCTTAACATGAAAGGCCAGTTTTGACAAGAAGTTTAGATTGTTTTCGTTAGGAGTGAGTAATAACACTCTAGTGGGGCCCACGTATTTTTTTTCTAGTGATCAGCACTTGAGGGCTGCCTCTTATTCCATAGGCATAATTCAGTGGGGAGACACACCTGCACCATTCACGACTGGTACTGCGTGTTGCTTTGACGGGGATGTACATTTGCTATATAATTGGGTTTGGGGCCTCTCCACATCGACAACTTTTTGCAGGTGCAAAGAATGGACTTACAGGTCTTCCCAGGACTCCTTCTTTCTAACCTGCAGTAGATTCCTGTGTTTGTTTGCATGCATGGGAGGCAAGAGTAAGGCATGTCGCCTCTCATTTGTCACAGGAAGTGGAATCCCATTGCAGGAGGCTTGCAAGGAGCAGCTGCTCTTGGGGCAGAATGACTTTGCCATGAATTAAAGAGGATCACTGAGTCACGGTAACTGGCGGGGACTGTAGGATGGGGGGGAGTTCATGAAAATAACTGAAACAAAATTTAAGACTGTAATCTTGAGGATACATTCTTCAACATAACAACCCATGTATTTGTTTGGTAGAATGAAGTATGATCGTGCTGTTCAAGGGCTGTAGTACTTGGGGTGATGGGAACATTGAACGTTCTCCCATGTATTAAAACATTCCCTGCACACAGAAAACCAGCATGTTAATCAAAAAGCCAGTTCTTCCTGACATGCTGATCTTCTTTGTGAGGAGAGTTTGGTTTTCTTGGGGGAGACCATGCAAGCACATGACTCCTCCCCCCACTTCTGAAATGGGACAGTCCAGGTAGAGCTTCACCACTTGATTCTGCTGAATGCATCCACTGTCCATAAGAGCCACTAGTAAATGAAGAAGGACCATATGGTCATTCTTCTTACAAGCACCTACAGCTTTCGGGAATCATTCCTAATGCCTCCATTTGGGATCCATCTACAAGAGAACAATTTGCCCTGCATGGCTAGACTATGACAGCACCGGCTGAGAACCACTGTTTGTATGCGGTCATTTTATCATGCTGTGAATGCAGGTGACGGAGCAGCAGGTTTTCTGTTGCTCGTTCTTGAATAATTTTGAATAGTGGGGAAAGCTAATGGATCATCTTCCTCCGTCAGATCCAGAATACCAGAATGCTATCAGAACACAAACAGGTTTTCTAACACAATTAATGCTCCTTTCCTTATAGCTGATTCTTGGCAGTAAAGCACCCAAACAGGCATCACCTTTTTCCCATTCTAGACCATTCAAGAGCTAAACTGTCTGTTCAGAAGCACTATATGAGTTAGGGCCTTCTAGGAGAAGGAACTAGGAGAAGGTTAAGTTTGTCTAGAATTTAGACACTAGCTTTCCATCTGTATGTTGCTCTGTTTTGTTTTTCCTAAAACACAGAGAAAAATTTAAAACATTGATTATCCTTCTAATCTGCTTTCTAAAGTACTATGCAATACTTCTGAATAAGAACTGCAGCCCTGAGCGATTGCTTTTGTTCCTTTAATAGCCAAACTAGATAAGGCATTAGTAATGTAGTTAGCACTGGCCTGTGTGATTTAAACTTCAAGACCTAATGTAGAGAGGGTGAACTGGATCAGGACCATGGTGTGCAGGAGGGGGCCTTTAACCTTTGCTCCTGCCATGGTTCTCCCCCCCCCCCCAACACAACCTGTTCTTTGCAATGAAAAGGAAGCTGCCACTGGCCACCGATTCTGATTGGGTCAGCGGTGGAAGAAAAGGGTTACATTCTCATTACCTCTATGGTTCTGATCCAGTTCAGGGGCCCCTACTCTCCTGGTTCTTTATATTTGTAAAAAATTGTGCACTAATTTCTCATCAAGAAGGTAACAGGAGCACGATTCACTCTGATTTTCTTGTATTGCCAAACGTGAAGGAAACTAATGAGTAATTCAGTCCTATGCACAAATGCTGGGAAAAGTTGCAATATGGGCTATTGCAAACATGTCCTGTCAGTAATGCAGAACATGATGCGATGGCAGAATTATTGGATGCTGCAATCTCGATTTTCTAGCTTCTTTGCACAGGAGTATCAAGAATTTTGTGAAATAGTATGTTCCTGAATGTCTGATGGCCTAGCGCGGATGGGGGTATCCATTCTCCGAATTTCCGGTCGTTACAATATTGCTTGATCATGCCGTACTGCCGGCAGCATCGGTATATTGGTGAAATATTGTAAGAAACGCTCCGTTCCTTTTTAAAGATATGGGCGTACAGGGGCTCCAGCTGAATACCACACGTACTGTTGGGATGCTGGAGCAGTGCTAACGCTTGTGTAGTGACTGGATGCTCAAGGGGTCTGGAGTGCCTTGGCATCCCGTGATTTCTTTGGGGCTAATCCAGTTGGTCCCTATGCATGCCGTCAGGGCATAGGCAGCCCCCGCCCCCCCTGCAGCTCTCTGCCGAAGAGAATGGGGGTGGGGGCTGCGGCAGATGATCTCTGCCAAAGGAGTGGCGCGAGGGAGAGGGAAGGAAGATGCAGCAGATGAACACATTGTGCCCTGAGTATTTACTCAATTTTTCCAGGTACCTAAGAATAAAAACTCTGACTGTTTTTGAAGGCTCTGAACAAACGGAAACCATGTCCAGATTCCCAAAGGCTAGCAAGTGCATGGGTTTCCCATTGTCGACTAGGGAAAAGGAAGGCTTGATGATTGCACAAATGAGCACGAAGCCTTCCGTTTCCACGGGCAAGGGCTGGAAACGGGTGCCCTCGCTACCCCTGTGTACAATTTAAACATGTTCTAAACTACTGTGTGCTGGATTATGGCTCTGGCTAGTGCCTAATGCTCCTAGCATTAATATGGAAGTATTTTGCTCTTTCTAGTGAATGTCACATCCTAGCATTTTAAAGAATGGCCTATCAGAGATGACTGCTTGATTCATGGGTATGTCCTCTCCCGTGAGAAACCGGAAAGGAATACCGTGAACCATTTCTTCCCGCAGGGTTAATTGTTGATGTGAGAGGGGAAGTCTGTTGGGTGGGCAGGAATCACACATTTTAGATGGAGCACTGGGAAGGGTAGGTGTGGTTACAAGACACCTGGTTGAGGCCCAGAACATCAGAACATTCTGGGTGGAACTCTGGCGTCCAGCAAATGAGTAAAAATGGATGAAGAGATGATGCTGAACAACAAACTTAGATTTGCTGACCCGATAAAGTTGTTTTATCTATAGGTAGCTGGAACATGTGCTGTTATATCCACTGCATGTACAATTTTTAAATTATTATTATTATATTATTATTATTTTTTTGCTTTAATTTACAACCCAAGTGTGCCCCCAATGGTGGAGGCCAGTACTATACCAAGAACCACACAACAAATTATAATCATAATTTTCTTCTACATTACCCAAGCACATCCACGCAGCGTGACAAAGAGAAAGAAAGAGAGGAAAAGGAAGACAAACGAGCATTAGTAATGGGGCGTTCTGAGACTTTAGGAGGCTTAAACTAAAGGAAGCTGACTGTGTCTGGTATACAGAAGAGCCGAGGGAAACAAATGCTTGGCTGTGTTCACCCGGGTTCACCCATGGCTCAGTGCAAGAGGGGAGAACCATTGTTCACTCCAGTCGGAAATCCATTCTGAAGGAGTTCTTGGGAAGCCATTTTCCCAGGGTGGGTGGAGCCAGAGGTAAAGGGGTGGAGCCAAAACAATAAGAAATCCACCCATTGTCACTTGAAATTGTTACTGCCAGTAACTAAGTCTCAGGGAAGCCATTTCTACCTTTCCATCTGGGAAAAAAGCCAGGCAACCTCCAAGTGATTAGTACTTGCGGGGAAAGAGATGGGACCAGGACATCCCTTGCACCCAGTTAAGCCCTGTGTACCTGAGCCGAAAGGAGCTGCCCATAAGGAATAAAAGAGAAATCCAGTTCGGTTTAGCAGATTCCTTGGTTGTCTTTATATGCATATCAGGAGTTTTAAATAAACTCTAGTCAATTGCTAAAGAAATCAGCAGCAAATTCCGGGTAGTGTTACTGCTTTGTGGTACTAAGCTAGAGCCCGGATGGACAGAACACTTCCCAGAAGGCCTAATCAAGCGGTAAGAAGCTGAGGAAGTGAATCACGGAGCAGTTCGACACACGGCTACTCAGAGGAGAGTGTCCGTGAGCACAGTTGCTCTTATTTCTAGTCACAGAACAGCAGCCTCGGCCTCACTGACTGGGTCCTCACCATGTGACAGAGCAGGTTGTTGCATTGTGAAAGCTTTCCCTCAGGGTGGCTTGATTATGGGTTGCAGGGCAGCTTGAAGGGACTGTCAGTGGCCATCAAACAGAGAAGGGAGGATGCCAAACAACCCACGGTGAGCCCAGGTGCTTGTCAGGTTCACCATGGAGAGGTCGCACGGCAGCCAACTCCCTGTGACTTATTGCCAGGTGGGCTGTTGTGAAGTACAACTTGCCCTCTCTCTCTGACTGCATCCCTGCCACCTTCGTCCTCTTGGTCCTTTGTTGCTTCTGCACTGTGGTTGATTTTTAGCTCCCAAACCTACCTGGTCTTCAGCGCCCAGATTCTTAACTGAGTGCAATTTCTAACCATGGTGACTTCCTCGCAGTCCCCTTTTCTGCCTCCACAGGACTCCTCAGCTTTCTGGCCTCAATCTTGCCTTGTCCTTGTCCAGGCATCACGCAGCTTCTGAATTCCTAGTCGGTTCGTGATTGCCCCGACCCCTCAAAAGAAGGACCCGCCCCTTCTCTGTTCCTCTCCCCGTGGCCCAGCACCCTTTACTCACCCTCCGAGCCTTGCTCTGGTATTTTACAGCTTTCTTGGTGTCAGAGACGGCTCTTTCCACGTAATCAACAGAGTGTTCAACATTGTACTCAATGCGGTCAATCATCTCTCCCTGAAACATGGGTGAAGGAGACAAGTTGCTAAGGCAGAAAGCAGCATGCTGCGGCGCTTTGCGATGGTCAGTACAGACAAATGACAGAACACTTCCTGCTCTCTTCCTCAAAGGGCCAGCAGCCCCTTATGCAAAGTAAGGCTGAGGATATGAACTGGTCTAAAGCCGCCCATGCCCACAACCTTGAGCTTACTAGAGCTGAGCAGGGCTATCAAGGACATAACGTCTTGGAGGGGACTCCTTCACAGGGTGGCTGTGAGTCAAAGGTGACTGGACTGGATCTAACAGCCGCAAAACCAAGCACCACGCCTGAGGGCTAGGTGGAGGCCTGAACCCAGTGCCTTCCAGGTTCACGCACAAGGCCCTCTCTGGGACACCAGCTCTATGGCTTTAAAGGTCTCCACACACAAAGGGCTTCTCTACACGAGGTATTTATTGTGAGCGTGTGGTCCGTCACTCGTGGTGTCATTGCCTTTCAGGGCCTCTCCCGAGTTTTCCAACCCTTTTTGTGGGATTCTTTAGAGAGAGGAAAATCTGGTAGTAAATTTTGACAAGATGGACTAAAAGATTCATGGAAAGACAAAAATCCATTATACTGTGGTTATACCTTGTGGTTATACTTTGTGAGTAGTTAAGAGAATATATTGAAATGTGGAGAAATACAAGCCCCCAATAAAAGCCCTGTGGCAGGATTCTTCTTTCCTCCGCAATGAAAATGGACGAAGCCTCTGGAGAGCAGGGGGCTAAAGCCCTTGTGCAGAGAAGCCCCCAGACACCCTGGGCACAGTCAAAGCTTTACTGGGGCAAAGCAGCAGGGCACTGAAGTGCCAGCACCTGGTTCTGCTGTGTTCTCAGTTGTAAAGAGGTGTCTCTGAACATGTGCAGTTTTCCCTCTCAGAAATGAATAGCTTGAGAGGAGGAGAATGGCATCACAGGTCCCAGGACTTTTTATTTAAGAAATTAAGAATGAAGGATTGCCATGGCTCTGAGTTGATTCGCTACCTGTTGGGACCACACTGATGACTGTGTGTCTCACTATTCCGCTGTCTCACTGTTTCACCTCTCCCCAGAGTATCCTGCACGTCTGTACTTTGGCAAATCTTAGCATTTTCCTGAGCCTGCTAATACCTCCTGCCTTGGGCATGGGCGGTGAAGTTTTGGCCACTTAAGGATTGGCACTTGGAGAACTGAGTTTGCTATTAGCATATGGACTCCTTCCCTCCCTCCCTCCTTCCTTCCTTGCTTCCTTTCTGAAAGATATCCTTCAGTGGACAAATGGCAAAGCCAGAGCAGCTTACAAAAGAGTAAAGCAGTTTCAAAAACAAGATGGTAAAGCAACAGCACAAGATAAAACACAAATCAATCACAACACACACCAGTTTAATTCTTTTAAAGCTTGGGAAAGTTTTTAAAAATGGGTCTTTGGTGCAAAGCTGGACAATGCCTGCTGGGCAGTCCGAGCACCACAACCAAAGGTCCTCTCCGTTTTTGCCGGCAAGCTGATGTTTGAAGGTGGGAGCACTGGAAGAAGAATCTCAGCTGTCCATCTCACACTACCAGGAAGAGGGACATGGGAGGAACCATCCAGCAGGCAGCTGGGTCCTAACTGTGGAGGGTTTTGAAGGGGGATGGGGAACGTCTTTCAGCCCAAGGGCAGAAGCCCATCTCCAACAAGTGGAGGGGCTAAAGGCAAAAGGGCAGGGCCAAAACATCAGCACATTTTAACATTCATTTCTTATTGGTGGAACTGAGCCTTCAGAGAGGCATCAACCTTGTGGACTGGCAGAAAAGCTATGCCAGTCGGGGAACTACCAAATGGGTCAGGGGAAAGGGGGTATGAGAACCCCTGGGGCTGAGATTGCCCGCCCCTGCAATCCAGATCAACACCACCAGCTGATTTCAGCTGTGAGGCAAGACGAGAGCCGTTGAAGTTATTTCAAAAGCTCTCCCGGTGTCTGTGAGCAATCTTAGCTGCTGCATGCTCAGCTAACTGAAGCTGCCAGGACACCTTCAAGCCGCCCCCGCCAGCCTTCTGTCTGGGCTCTCTGTACCTGGCTCTCCACCAACATAGCCATGTCCACGAACATGTCATGAAGTTCCCGGATGCTAGTTTCCAGTTTGATGATCTCGTTGTGCCGGGTTTCGATCTCATTCAGGGCCTGCTTCGTCATCTGTGAGTCCATTTTGATCTGAAAGAAATGACGCAATACAGACATAATCAGACAGAGGAAGAGAACTCAGCACTACATGAAAATCCTGCGGTCCGATCTCATGGCCCCCATCCCAGTCCCCCATCCTACGCTTTGAATAAATTATGTAGACTGATGGCTGTCAACACAAAATTATAACTAGATGTTGCATGTAGCCAAAAGAACTGTGAAAAGTGATCGGTGACACCCTGGGAACCATAGCTTAAAGAAAAAAATTGGCAACTTTCTAGCCCTAGGGGGGCTAGAAAAGCTCAAAAAGGTGTGGGTGCTTCTGGGGACAATGTGGTGTAGAACAGCACCCCTGAAAAGTAAGAGGGTGGACTTTCAATATTTAGCTTCTCCTGTCTGCTATTTTCCACCTCCTTTTAAAAAAGCATATTTTTAATGTTTAAAAAACAAAGATAGACAAGCATATGAGCAGCTCCTCTGCCTCAGGAAAAATATATCATGTTTAAGTTTAATTATGGAGTGTAGTACATTTAATATGTTCTCTACCCCACATGTACTTTTAAGACAAAACTATGCATAGGATCTCTCCTCCCTTGGCCTAGTTTCTGTATTCCTCACCCACAAGATCAGTCCATAAAAACCAGCACTGCCCAGCATGGGGTACTTGTCCTGGCCCAACCAATATTTTTTCCCAATTTTTGTCCCGTGCCTTATCTGCAATACTTGTGAACTTTCCAAACTGCATTGGAGCTGCACTGCGCACCCAAGCCACCCCTTCCTCCCAACCAGCAAAAGAGAAATGAGGCCACTGAGTGCCCGTCACACATACATCATCGGTAAAAATTGCCAATTTCCCGCTCTCCAGCATGTCTTCCAACTCCTCATTGGTTGTTGTCCTGCCGGCTGCAAGAAGAAGAGGCCAGAGGGATGGTGAATCGCCAGACTTGGTAGTACAGTACAGGTCCCACTACTGCCGCCATGGGAGCTAGGAGGCAGCTCTGATTCTGGGCCGAGCCACACATGACACTCCTGCTGGGATGTGAAAGCACACAGCTGGGCTGGCTTGTTGCAGATCCTGTAGAAAGGAGCAGGCTCCTTACAGTAGTGGATCACATGGATGTTGAGGGAAGATGGTGGTTTCCGGACCACCTCACTTACTGTTTCTCTTGTCCTTCACCAAGAAGGACAAGGCGCCACTGCTGAGCATCCACCTCTAGGTTTGTTTTGGTTTTGGTTTAAGCCATGGCTCATCCAAACCAGTGGCAGCTACTTGCCGCCCGCTAGGCCAAGGCAGTTGCGACTGAAGAAGGAAGGGCACATGCATCTTTAAACGCCACAGGGAGCCGTGGAGGTTGGCTTGACGTGGGGGCCCTCTGCTTTCTGCTTGCAACTGTGCCAGCTCTCACCCCTACTCAGCAAATGTACTCCTCTTTCCCTGGAAGTCCAGCCCCTGATCTCAGGTGCTCATGGGTGTCTATCATGACTTGGCAGTGAGGGGAGTCCATTCTGCACATGCTTAGTAATACTCTCATCTTTTTAATACAAATGCTCCCATCATTTGTTCAGCTCCCATCCCCATTGGCCAGTAGATTCATCCAGTTGGCACAGTCCAGCCAGAATGTATTCAGTGGGACAGATTTTAAATGAAAAGGAGGGAAACATGAGATTTGTTTCTTTCAGAAATGGCACAACACTGGGGGCATGTGTAAATGACAAACATCGGTGGAACAACGTACTTATCTCCAGCTGTCTCTGGATGCGGTCCTTGCATCGGTCCCGATATTTGGACTGGGTTGTGTTGTATTCTGTCATCACCTCCACAAACTTGCGGGAGAGGGTTGAGTGCTAGCCAGCAAAATGGGGAGACCGTCAGGGAGGAGGAAGAAGGTAGGGAGAAGAAAGGAAATCCTCTCCCTCATCTCCTTGTTTCATTGCAAGGTCTGTCCCTATTGATTACAGAGCTGAAATGAAATCGCATGGCCCAAACACGCAACTTAATAGGACCCTTTTCAGAATTGCGGGTGTGTTTTTACTCATAATCTCAGCTATAAAAGCCCTTAGTCTTAGGACAGTAGCGGCAAACATGTGGTTGTCCAGATGTTGTTTTACGCAGCCCGCATAGCCATTAGTGAGATGATGCGAGTTGGGAATCGAACAACTTCTGGAGGATCATATGTTCCTAATCTCAAATTGGGGTGTCTAAAAGCAAAAAGGAAACACAGCGTGCACACGCACACATACATGCACACGCACACGTGAAATGCACAAGGGAAGCACCATTTGAGAAGAGGCATTCCTCCTTGTGTGGGAATGCCTCTTCTACAATGATGTGTGCTGTGCCACATGCGAACAGCAAGAAGCACCCCCTGCTCTAAGACGTTGCCTGCTGTGACCAATGTGCACGTTCGCCAAAAAAAAGACATTTTTTCTTCAGCACTATCCCTCTTCTCAAATGTCAAAGTGTGCAGATTTAATTGACTGATCAAGACAGGTGAATCCGTTAGAACAGTGGTGGGAAATTCATGGTCCTCAGGATCTTATTGCCCTCCCGTCTCCCACCAGCCCCAGCAAACATGGCCAATGACCAGGGATGGTGGGAGCTGGGAAATCCACAGCATCTGCTTACTCGTTCCGCGGCCAAAAACTAGAATTGTTGTGCTGAATCAAATATGGGCACAATCCTGTTCATGTTTAGATGGAAAGGGGGCCTGAGGGTTGTTTCCTAAGGGTTTTAACTGGTGACAGCCTTGGCTGGGGTTTGCAAGCCCTAGCTGAGTAAAGGCCTGGTTAGCAGGAACAGACTCCCAAGGGGTGATAGGACAACAGTACCATTCCTGTGCCAAAATCTTCTTTCTTTTGGACACCACCACCTCAGTCTCTGTTCTGTTAGATTCATTCTGCAATCAGGGTTTCCTTTCCACAGTCTTTAAACCAATATCCCCATTAACTTAGAAGTGGGTTCAAGCAATAATAAGGTGATACTTAATGCATAAGTAATAACTAATAAAACTACATCAGTTCATATAAATTCCAGATGAATGAAGCTGCAGGGAAAAGCCAAACTTATTTAAAAAACATAAAAAGAGGGTGTGAAGAGAAAAATGACCCAAGAATTTTTTCAAGTCTAATTTCAGGTACCTGTGTTTTCCGGATCCGTAGATCAGCTGAGGATCGGTTCTGCACTTCTTCCTGCTCAATCCCTTGCTCAATCGCTGGAGAGATGGAATGGGCAAAAAGGAAAGAGTTGCTGTGGGTGTCAGAAATTGCCCAGGGCACAGCCTGGAGCATCTGCATCCCTGCTGTCGCCTCTGCTGCAGAGCCTTTGGGCAGCAGGCTAAAAGGTCCCAGGGCTGGGATACCTTCCCCACCCTCAGAGCGCCCACCTGAGCACCCTGCTGGCTTCCCGGGGGCTTGACCATGCTGCAAAAGCCTATGCAGCCTGAATGGGCTTCACCCGCTCATGCTGGATCTATGGCTGACTCAAGAAGTCTCGGAGGAGAATAGTATGTTTAAATTTGGATGGCTAGGAGGAATGGGAAGGGAAATGAGGATGACCCCCCACCCCTAACCTCTTGATGGGAAGGAGTCATATAGCCAGGCGGGGCAAAACTCACAACCGCGAGACATAGCCCCTTCTCACAGCTGCCATTTTTCAAAATCCGTGGGTACCATTCTGCTGATGATGTAGCATTACTCTTTTTATTTATATTTATTTATATTGTGATTTATATCCTGCCTTTTTCCTACAAAGGGCTCAAGGCAGCTTACATCATTCTCCTCCTCCATCTTATCCCCACAACGACAACCCTGTGAGGTAGGTTGGGCTGAGAGTCTGTGACTGGCCCAAAGTCACCCAGTTGGCTCCATGGCTGAGCGGGGACTAGAACCCAGATCATCTGAGTCCCAGTCCCATGCTCTTAACCACTACACCACACTGGATCTCTTACAGGGGCTTCAGGGAGGAAAAAGGTGCCCCCCTCATAAACTCCAGAAAGAGTTCTGTGCAGCATTCCCCACCCTGCAAAATCATCCCTCCCCTGAAAGATCAGATGAAATAGCATTCCCCCACAGCGTGAAAATACAGGGAGCCATTTTTGCTCAGCACTGACAGCATTGGAGAGACGCTGGATTCCCATGCAGCACCAGACCCGGGCACCTCTACCTCTGCCAACAGTCTGTGCAGAAGCTATATTCTTGGTTCAAATGGTATCTCAGTCATGAATGTACTTGGTGGCCTCTGAACCCCCAAACCACTCCAAATATAGAGGATGAGGACCCAATCCCCCCAGCTGCAGCTGCAGCTCGAGCGCTTACCTTTCAACTTGGAGCGCACCTTGTTAGCAGTCTTCTTGATGTCAGCTGTGAGGTCCTCCAGCTCCTGCTTGGTCTCTGCAAAGAGGACACAAGCGGAGGCATCAGGCCTGAGCAAGAACGGACATTTTCACCTGTGTGTGGCCAGCGTGCCGCTCCTCCCACAGGACAAGAGAGCGCATGGCACCGCTCTGTGACCTCGCCCAACGTTTGCACTCACTCTCATCCGGGTTGGGGGCAGCCAAGATGGCGCTGTGCTGCTTCTTCACCAGCTCCACATCCTCCGAGAGCTTCTCAATGCAGCCGCGGATCTCCTCCACCTGATTGGGGAGAGACAGAGGCACACGTGGGTCTCCTTCGCTTGACGGTTGCCTGCAACCCCCAAGCTGTTGACAGGGTGATCTGGGTTTGCCAGTGTCAGTACAGGACAGGTCTTTGGTGCCCTTGGCCAGAAAGTCATGAAATTTCAAAGGTGGAAGAATGGATCGGCCACACAGCTAGGGAAATGATGCAAAAGCCACACTTGTAGTTTCTGCCTGAATGCTGCCGAGTGCAGGGCTGGGGAAAGATGACTCTCCCTCAAACTCTTTGGGTGCCCTTCCTGTTTTTTGCTTTCGCTTTCCAGCCCCTTCACACTCCCTCGGCATTCTCTCCTGCAGCCTCGCCTACCTTAGCGCTCTCCAGGCGTTTGTACTGAACACGCCCATGAGTCCTTCCAGATCTGTGTGATGCCCCTCCAACGTCCAAGAGTGCTCGGTCCGGATCCTCAGTGCCTCACACAGGAAGCCGGCTGAGGCACACACCACGTCAGCCAGCAGTGTCATCACAAGGTGACATCTTAGGTGGGGTGATGTCATCATGGAGTGACACCTGTGGGGAGGGTTCTGAGGGAGGGCTTACACCAGGGAGGCCTAAACGTGCAATTAATAAATACCGGTGGATGTGGAAGCTGGGAGCAGGGCTTTGTTGGTATGGCCTCCCCACACTTGTCTCCGGGGCCAAACTGGTCCAGCCACAGGGCCCGGCAGGTCTGCTCTCTGCCAGTTCTGCAGTCCAGGCAGGAGGCCTTGCCTAGCATACCGTCGGTGTGACCCCAGCGCTGAGGGGACGCTGGCAGTGTGGGGACGGCGGCCTCGACCGAGCACATGTATGGGCATCTCCTGCCCCAGCCCATGCTCCCTTTCTGTTGTTAGCCAGATCTTATCATTCGTTTAGCAAAGTGTTTCCACCCCAACAGGAACAGCCTTTCCCATTTGGGAGGTCAGGGGATCAGCTGAAGCGGAGGGGGGTGGGGGTGAGGGTCACATTCCCGAAGAGCCGAGGTTCATGCTCCCTCATGGGTTCACATTCTGAGGGGCAAATGCCAGAGATGCACATGCACACTCTCCACCCCATACAACACACACACACCCATCCATCCATCCACATGTATGCATTGGGCCTACACAAATCCCCCTTCTACCTTGCCCTCACACTCTCCCACACACACGCATGCAAAAGACAGGGCAAGGATGAATATGGAGGGTTAGCGAGAAGGGAAGGAGAAAGCACTCCAAGAAAGCCCAAACGCAAAAGGAAAGCGGGGAGATGAAGGGGGCTGGAGTCACCAAGGCACCTCGGATGAGCTCTGCCGGAGGCAGGGCTGAGAGATGCGAGGCCATGAGTTGGACTCAAGGCCAGAAGTTCCCCTGCATCCCCACCCCTCTGAAATGCCCCATTCCTGGTCAGATAAAGGGTAGAATGAAACTGCTGTTCATGGCTAAATACTCCCTAAATCTTGACAGGTGGTGGCCAAGGTAGTTTTCTGGAATGAAACTGCTGCAGTGCCCCAGCATGAACACTACGGGGCACTGCCCTGTAGAAAGGATTGGAACCGTGGGCTCCTTCTGAAGGGAACTCCTAGACACCCTCTCCAGGGTCCTGAAGCCTGCAGACGGACGCTTTACCGATACCCTCACTCAAAACCCACGGTCCACATGCCAGCCCCGATCTGTCCCTTCCTCCACGTCAGAAGCAGGCATGCTGCGCATCAAACGAACATTCGGCCTACACACGAGGCCGAGAGAGGCCTGTTCGCTGAAATTCCAGTCCCCCTCCCTCTTCTCTGAAGTTGGATGCAGAAGAAGATGTGTTTGTAGAGCAAGTGAGGTGTCTGGGGAATCTCTGCCTCCGTGTTTTCTTTCCTCTTGTATTTTTCTCAGGTGGGCTCAAATCCAGTGATGAAGCACAGCGGGGGAAGCTTCCATCAGAAAAGACGCTTCAACGAGGTGAGCTGCAGGTGAATCAACTGGCCACCTACATACCACAACAACAACTCTGCCATCACAAGTAGTGCTCACAAGTTAAGTGTTAAGTGCTCACAAGTTATGAATGTTGGATGGATGCTTACACAACCAAGGCAAATCAGTATCCTGGCACACAGAAGAAAAGTTCGCAAGCATATTCTGGGATCATTGACTATGCAGCGACACTGGCTAATTTTACAGGAAACTGTGAAATGTGCATGCTTATTTGAAGGATGATGGGCAGGTGTGTGTATTTTAAGCAGAATACAAAATTCTGCAGAAAGGGGGCAAGCGGTGAGGTATGGCTAAATGAAAGGCAGTGAACAAGAGAGTCAAGTCCCCATGGGAGGGGACTCAACACAGTAACACCATTTCTTGAATTCCAGAATCACTTCCAAGTCACACAATGTGTATATTTTCATGAAAGCTAGAAAATGTTTTTTGCAAAATGGGGCAAAGCCTGAGTATCTCTGAAATCTGCATCAGAGCTGGTATGGTACAGGGTATTGGCTGAGGACTGGCAAGACTTGAGTTCTAGGCCGCATTCTGGATGACCCTGAGCTTCTCACTGACTCCAGGCCTAACCTTGCTCATAGGACTGTTGTTACGTGAGGAATCAGGTGCATTGCCTTGGGCTCCTCAGAGGAAAAGGCAAAACAGAAAGGAAATTAAAAGTACACAACGAAATATTTGATTCCATAACCAGCACCAAACATCACGTGGTATTCTGCATTTGTGGAAGGCAAAGACACTTGGTTCTGATGAACATGGCAAAGGGCATGAAGCAAGAATTTTCTATAAGTGATGCTATTACCATGCACCATAATATGAGACAAAGAGCAAGTTTTCTCTAAAGTGCATTGTATGGTCTCAGCTACAAGTATCTTTGATAAGGAAAACCAGGCCTGCGACCTGGTTGCAGCCACCGGAGGCCGAAGTTCCAACGGCCTTCCTGCCCTCCTCCAGTCTCCACACCTGATCATTTTGGAGACTGCCTGGAATCATTTAAAAATGCTCTCACATATTAAATGCATGCTGTTTGAATATTGATGAGCTTTGCTCTCACGCAGATCCCAAGCACGTGTTTAAGCAGGAGTTAATACAAGCCATGGGTACCCTCTTAAGCAGCTCTTGAGAAAGAGGGAGGGATGCAGGGAAAGGGAAGGGAAGTACATGGATGGCCACATTCCATATTCTTGGTGGCATTTTGCTTTTGCAAAGCTGGAAGCTGGAAATGTCCTGGCCTGCATAAACCACCCTCTGCATTAAACCAGAGCAAGCGGAAAGGGTATTCATGGCTACGAGGCAAATGAGTCCAGGCATGGCTGGGGTGTGACAGGTGAAACCAAAAGAGGAGTGATGATGTTGAACTGCAGAATCTCTCTCTCATGCATGCACACACACAAACCTTTGGAAAACAACATCCTTCTTCTGGCTGAAACCTAGATCGAAACTATGCATGGTCCCTAAAATCCAGTCTTGTTAAACTTGCAGCTTCCCCAGTCATATATACCATGTTTATTCTTTGGTGCCCGTTTTTAAAAGTAAAAGAAGCACACAGACGTGAGCTATTGCTGACGTTTCCCTGCCCTTGGCTTACCTCCTCACAATCTCTTCCTGAAAGTGGCTGAGAGAAAATTCTTGCAAGGAAGAGCTGCATAGGAAAGTTCAGCTCCCTTCACCCCCATGCCCTATTGCTTTAAAAATGGGAATTCTAATCTCTTTTCTCTTGACCCGAATGCTGTCCAGGTCTGGGCCCGCTGCCATCATGTATATTTCAGGCCTGGAAAACTTGTTGATGCACTTGAATTAAAAACTGTCTTGTTGGAGTGGGCAGGTGAGGAAAGGATAAGATGCTTTTAGAGGCCAGATGCTGTCTGTGGATTGTAAGCCATCTCTGACAGGAGGCAACATTTCAATGGTGCTCTGGAAGTTGAGCCAAGCATGGGAAAAGGGCAGCCTCTTAGGGAGTTTGTCATGCAAAGCAAATTACACCAACGCTCATGAGTCTGCACCTCCCCCCCCCCCCATCCCAGTCCTCTGGCTGCCCCTTTATTTGCAACCATGAAGTACACAATTTGGTACACAACAGAGTTCAGGATCCTGAGAGCTGCAACTCGCACTTCTTGATTTTCCAGACCTTATGCCTGCGGAGATAAGCCTGAAACTGTACACTCAAAGTCGAGTGAGATTTCAGAAGCCAGACATGAGAACAGGGCTCAAGAAGTAGGAATTCAGTACTCATCTCAGTATCTTGCACAGACATAACAGGCGATCCATGAGAAGATCACAAGAGTCCTCCTGGACCTCCCCAAGTCTGCGTATTCCAGCATTTTGTCTCCGACAGTGGTCAGTCTGATTATTCTGGAAGCTGACAAACAGCTCTCTAATCGCACTCGTTGCCTCTTGCCAGAGCAGCAAAGAGCTCTGTATTCAGAGCTATGCTGTCTCTAAATTGGGTGGCTCCATCTGAGACAAAGTTCTCCCAAATTTTAAATTGTCAAATGGGCATTTTCACACAGCTCTCCAAACTGTGATTTTGCCTAGGAATGTGTGAAAACCTGAATTTAAAGTGCATTATGCTTTTGGCTTACGGGATGGATATTAGCTTCCTCTGATAAGCCCGAAAGTGCAGGTCTTCAAAATGTTCTGCTGGTTCTCTCAGTTTTGGCTCTTGAATGGTAGCTTTGACATTTCAAAAGACAAAGGCTTATCTTCTTAAGTGCTAACCATACCTCAAAAATACACACGTGTAATAAATTTCCTAAAACAAAACCAACATATTTATTAAAAGCTTTTCTATCCCGTTCCCTACAAACATCTTGGGACTTAGCTGAAAGTATGCAAATAGATTGAATTTAAATATTTCAACTCAGTTGGTGTGACCTGCCCATCTTCTAGTTGCAAGGGCCGAGATTCTTTTGCAGAAAATCATCATCTTACCTGTTCAAAGAACTCGTCCATGAAATGGTCTCGATCCACATGCACCACTTCTTCCTCATCATCACTGTCTTTGGCCTGCCCAAGATACAATATCATCACAGGTCAGCATCCCCAGATGGCGCCTTTCTTAAAGTGAGCACTTGTCCGTTCTACCTGACTCAAAACCTGCTACACGTCAAGGCTTAAGAATCGCCAGGTTGGATCTAACCAAAGGCCTCTCTAGTCTGGCATTCTATTCCCATGGTGTCCAACCAAATGTATTTATTTACTTACATGTTTTTAACCCATCTTTTAGGGCACACTTCCTCTCCAGGCAACTTACAATATTATGCAAACATGAACACACAAATTACTGTTAATTGCACATACGCACAGCAAGAGCAGAACCTCGTAATTGCAAAGCACCAAATGCAGACTAGAATAAATGTCTTCTGTTTTTGTTTTAATCAGCAGAGAGGAGGCCATTTGTACCTCCCTGAGGATAGAGTCCCAAAGGAGTGGGCCACCACTGAGAAAGCCCTGTCTTTAGTAGCTGCCAGCATAATGGCTTTTGTCAGTGGGCCAGAGAGGAAGAACTCTGATGCTGAACTGCAAGGACATGCTCAGAGAGGTATACGCTGGCCTTCGGGGAAGATGGTCCCAAGCCAATCAGGGCTTTAAAGTCCAAAACCAGCACCCTGAATTGTGCCTGGAAATGAACAGGCAGCCAATGTGGATGGTGGTCCATAAACATCCCAACTGCTACATTCTTTATAGCCACAGTTTCCAAACCATATTCCCCTGTAGCAGTTACAGAAATCTCACCTGGATGTAACCGAGCCTCATGTCTCTGCCCATGAGAAGCCTGCAGGTGGAACACGAGCCCAACAGCACCTTCTGCTCGTGTTCCTCAGCCTGTGGTCTTCAGAGCTTTCCCATCACTAACACTGGAGGTAGGATAAAACCTCGGCGACTAGTAGCCACTGATCACCTTATTCTCCAGGAAATTATCTAAGCCCCTCTGAAACCTATTCAAGTTGGTGGCCTTCAGTACTTCCCATGGCAGCAACTACTTGCTGTGTGAAGAAGCACATTGGTTTATCCGGGCTGAATGTTCCATCATTCAGCTTCACTGGATGACCCTGGGTTGGTTTATTATATTCATGGCCTGCCTTTTTTCCTTTCAAGGAACTCAAGGTGGCTTACATAATCTCCTGGCAGTCCTGTCCTAACAACAACAAAACTGTGAAGTAGGTTGGGCAGAGAGTCTGGGACTGGCTCAGAGTCACCTGGTGAGCTCCATGGCTGGGTGGGGACTAGAAGCCCTTAAGCACATCACACTGGCTCTCTAGTTTGGGTGTTCTCCTTGTAATAGGTGGGACTCACAGCAGCACTAGGCACCTTCCGCACATCCAGTAAGACTGGAGAACTGTGGGAGTCTCTCTTGCCAATTCTCACAAGGAGTGGAGGCGCTCTCCAGAGGCGGCCAGGGAGGGATGAGGCTCCATAATACCTTCCGTATGAAGAAATACCACTACGGATGAACACACTTTCAGCTGGAGCACGTGAAGGGGGTTGTTACTGACCAGCATTTTGGACTGTGTTTTGGGCCCTGTTTTCAATGCCGAGGCAGAGCCCTGGAGTGAGTACGGCAGCAGTGAGCGCTGGATGCAGGTGCGCACCTGCCGCAGCAAGACCTCTCCTTGACTGGTTCACTACAGTCCCCGTGCATTGGTGGTTGTCAGTGAGGAGCTCCAGGACAAGAACACACAATTTCCTGCCCACCCACATTTCAAAGACCAAGCACTCCCTGAAATCCCAGGGGGGAGAATTAGCAGATTTATCTTCCAGACCTGGTGGAGAGGGCCTATTTTCCAGAAATGCCTTCTACTTTTTTGTTGGAACCAGAATTTAAACCCGCGAGAGCCCACGATTTCCTTGCTCTAGCAAGCAGGACCTCATCCTCCTTCCAGCTTGGGGAGCAGCACAGAACCCCAGAGAAACGTCTCCAACAGCTTCCCTGTGTAACCTTATTGACCAGGTCAGATAATTTGGAGTCCAGTTCCTACAAACTGTGGATCAACTTGCTTGCAGATTCCATCCCTTCAGGTTGTTGGTGATGGGGGCAGCGGGGAGCCTGCTGGCTGAATGAGATCAGCCTAACTCAGCCTCCGTCCGCTACCACTTTGACTGGCACCAACAATTTTGTGATTGATGGACCTCAGTCACGTTCGGCTCTCTCAAGAGGACCCTGGAGCCAGAAAGCTTGAGAGCCCCTGGACTGGGCCTTAAAGCTGGCGATTAAACTCTGATGTCTCCAGTCTCTTCCCATTCCCTCTCTCATGGTCCTTTCATGAGTTGTCAGGCCAAAAAGGCCTCTTCTTCTCAGCCGAGATACCACGTTTCTGCTTATATAAGGGCAGCCCCCCAAAACTTGATTTAACCCAAGGCGACATGTCAGAGGGAGATGGTTCAGCCAGCTAGAAAGACCCCCCGGGTGCAGTGTGCCACTTCTGCTGCTCCACACAGCTGGAGACCGCCGGCATCTCAGAGGTGGGGAGGCCATGGAGACGGAGGAGGCTGTCCTCACTGCCAAGGGGAGAGGAACTGCAGAAGGGGATTGGGAGGAAGGGAACAAGGGAGGACGCCGGGTTTTGGCCCAGTGCCTGGCTCTGTCTCCTGGAGGGCAGTGTCTGACGAAGCTCTCTCATCGCATTCTCCTCTCATCCAAGGTCACAGCTAACCGAGCTAGAACAGTGACATAATAACACATGCACACAAAACAGCCACTCACACTCCAGTGTGGAATGTGTGTGTGTGAGAGTGTGTGCGCGTACGTGCCTGTGCCCAGAGAGCGGGCAGTACCACATCACTTCAGTGGACTATCGGATTCTTTTCTCCTTCCAGGAAAACCATTATCCCCAAAATAGCCTGACTGGTCGTTGAGCTGTGTGCGTGCATGCATGCGCTCGTGTGTGTGTGTGTGTGTGTTAATTTCCCTCCCCATTTCTTCTGCAGTGGAAGATATGGGGCTATTTTTAATGGCATTTAACATTCCTCTAAATTTATGATGGTGACTGGCAAACAGCTGGCCCACTACAGTCCCCTGATTTGTTCCGTGTCTTCCCTTACCCTGCCCCCTGGCCACTTTCTGCATGGCAAAGAGAGAGAGAGAAGGTGTTGGAAAGATTAGTAGTTCAGTGTTTGCCTGCAGGCAATACAGAACTGTCTTTTTCCACCCCATTCAGAGTAAGCAAAGCTAGGGATGTATAGACTGAAGAACAACCATAGAACAGAAGATGTCATGCACTGTAATAACATTTTCCCCAATACAGCTATTTTTCCACAGCCTGTCATGCACTGTAACAACATTTTTCTTGATACTTCTATTTTTCCACAGAAACAAGAATCACAACAGGTCTACCAAGAAACTAACATTAGGAGAAGATGAGAGATTACTGCAGTATGTAGTAATTCCATGGGTATTCCATGGGTAACTACTGAAATGAATTAATTTTACTTTAAATTAATTTCCTTTCCTTGAAGGCCAGTTTTTCCTCTACCCTGGAACCCCAAGCAGCATATCCAGGGTCCCAAAACAGTCTTCCACCCTGGCACCGACCAGAGCTGTTTATGTTGCAGCACCATGTCGCTTGCAGCCTGTGCTGGAGGCCCCGGGGCGCAGGCCCACCAATCATTCCCAGTCCTGTCTTCTGTTCATTTGCATGAAAGGACCCTACACTGGGCTCCTCAACCAGGGCCGTCTGAACAGCATTATGGGCCCCGGGCAAAGCAGTGTACTGGGGCCCCTACGACAACTACAACTGCTGTTAATTTTGGAGGTTTTCCCATTTTCCAAGGGTTAACATACACAGATTAGTGTGGGGCCCACGGGCAAGTGCCCATCAGGCCCGTGCGTTAAGACGGCCCTGCCTCCGACTGTTCCTTTCTCTGGTCCTGTGGCTGGATACTCTGAGCATGGTGGAGACAGTCTCCAAAGCCATTTGCACTGGTAGCCTATGCCACTCCTGACTGGCTCAGGTACTCAACCTACCTCAGCTCTGGTTGCTCGGCATGCTCATATTCATGGTCATGATTGGCTATTCCATTTGCTAAATTTACATGTTGAGAAAAGATACAGGCCAAGGTCATCTCTTTGCAAAAACAGATGCGCCAATGGCCTATCCATCTCTGATCATGCCAAGATGTGGATGATTCAGAAGCAACCACGGAGTGCTTAAGAAGCTATCCATCTATGGCCATTTGGCTTGTGATTATTGCCCATCAAAAAGTTTGGGAGCACTCTGCTCAAGATGTTATCTTTCTGTTTTCAAAGATTTCCAAGAAAGGTTGCCAAAAATAAAAAACTAGCTGAATAACTAGAGGAATCTTATCTGCTACATTTGCATCCCAAACTTTCACCAAGCAAGACAGTAGCCCAGCTCAGATACGTGGGTATGCCCTTTGGTGACAACTCTGGTCCTATGAAGTGAGGATGAGTCATAACCTGCCCAAAACAATGCAGAAAGCAAAAGTTTGAACCATCTCTCTCTAATCCATGTCCAGCACTCTGTGCATCACACTAGCCCTCAAAAGGAATGTGCATCTGCTGCTCTCTGCATTTGCAGCTAACAGAAATATATCTATCTCAGTTCCATCCCTCCTCTCTGCAGAGCCCAAACATTCTCTCATCCAGACCTTGAAGAAGCCAAGATATGCTCACTCCAAACAAGCAATTACTGTGTCTATAGAGACAATTATCGGCATTGGGAATGGCTTCCAGGTTATCAAAAGTTTGAGAAGCAGACAAAAAAGTGTGCACATCATGCACAGCAAAACTGGACTTAGAGAAAGGAAAGTAATATCCAGTCAGATCCCCATCAAGATTAGATTCCAGCACATAATTAGGGTGCGATTTAGCCCTTCGGGCTGCTTGTTCGCAGGCTGCTCAGCTTGGATCGGCAGTGCTCCCCCACCCCAAGAGGTCCCTTGCCGGCCCGTTATCATACCGGATTGGATGTCGGCTTCCCCTTATTTGAATATCAGGATCCTCCTAGGGCTGCCTTTCCTGTGTGACTGGCTGCTTTCGTTTCCCT